TTCCAGGCACAGGGACATAGCTAATGAAACAGAAGAAAGCCTGTGCCCCTGTGGAGCTGGCAATCTGTCAGGGCGACCTTGGATTCACTTGGGGTTGCCTGGTGGATCTTTCTGAGGCCAGGTGCCCCTGGAGGCCTGCTCCTCCAGGGTCGGCTGACCGGGTCATGCAGGATGAACTGGGGTACCCAAGCTTCCCTTTTACTTTCCATGTCAGTGACCCCACATCGGGCTGGGCACCCACAACAGTAATGGATGACGTCTATTGAGTGCAGACTCTGTGCTGGGGCTGATCCACACATTTTACCTGGTTAACTCAGAGTACCTTTGTACTAGGCCTATGGGGAGGCAGGGCAGTATGGCTACCCACTTTGCGGATGGAGAAACTGAGGTTCAAGCCAGTGAATGGCAGAGGCAAGCTTTAAACCCAGGCTGTCTGGTGTCAGAGCCTTAATCTCCCCATCCTGCCTTGTGTCGAGGGGGCACTGGTAAGCCAGGTGGTGTGGCCTGGGACAGAGGCCGTGCTGGGGTTCAAGGCTGGGAGGGGCGCTGGTGTGCTGGTGGCCTGCCAGCTGCCACCTGGGTTGGCCCTGCTGCGTGGCCCTGAGTCACAGCCCTGTGTCTTGGGAAGCTGGCTATGCCCCGAGCACCCGTGGGGCCTGAGTCACAGCAAAGCACACCCTGCCACCCTGCCCAGCTCCCTCCTGGGCCTGAGCACAAGCAGGCCCTCAGAGAGTATCCCTAGGCAGGAACTCACATTTCTGCCCACTTCTAGGGGCAAGAAAAAGACACCTGTCTGCAGCCCTAGAAGCACATTTCTGCCTCCTCTCATTGAGGCCAAATCTATCCTTCCAAGGTGCCCCAGATGGATTTGCTGGCTGGTGAGTGACTGAGCTCCCCATCACTGGGAGCCTTCAAGACAGGATAGCTTGTCAGGTACTGAAGAGTGTTCCTGTATCAGACAGGGTCTGGTGCTGGAGCATGTGGCTTCCAAAGTCCTAAACTTTATTGATGTGCTTATTTTTGAATAGATACTGTGAGCAAATGGTACAAAATCCAAAAAGTACAAAAAGGTATGGAATAAAAAGTAAGTGTCCACCTTCCCCAACCCCCAGCCTCTGAATTTCTCTCCTCAGAAGCAGCCACATTTAACATTCCCCCTCCCCAAGCAAATTTATGTACGTACAAACGTATATAAATTGTCCTTTCCTCCCTTCTTGACACACAGATGGGAGCCAGTATATGTCATACCTCATAGCTGCCTCTCATTTTATTTTCTTTTTAGTTGACAACTTATCTTGGAGGCTGTTCCAAATCAGCACCCACAGGGCTGCTCCATTCTTTTTACCTTGCCGTGTGAGATTCCCTTTTTAATTCCTTCTAAATAACCTATAATACATTTGATTCAAGGGCTTTCAGTCCTGAATTCTGCATTTGTGATATGCACTGTCCTTTACTCTGGTGGTGGCCTGAGAACATTTTCAAAGATTGACTGGAAATTGTAAGCTCTTCCCATGTCTGCGGGGATTTTCTGAGTCTATTTCTGGTTGAAATTATAAAAGAAAGAAAAGAGAGAAAGAAAGCAAGATTAAGGAGACAGTCTTGCACCCACATTCTTCCATGGCAGGCACGGGTGATCTGCTGGTGAGCCCTACATGTACCAGCTCATCTACCTGTAGTGTGTCCAGGCTGTGGGAGGGGTGCCCTGGGTAGTGCCAGAAAACCCAAAGGAGAGGACTTCCCATGTGTATGTGTGTATATGTGTGTATGTGCAAGGGCTCAGGGATGGCTCCTCAGAAGAGGGATTATTTAGGTGGGGCCTTACGAGATGGATAGGAGTTCATGTGAAGAACATGGAGATGGGCCTGCGAGGCACAGGGAACAACATGAAGAGCAAAACTACTTGGTAGATGCAGAAATGACTACCAACTCCCATTTATTGAGCACCTACTGTGTGCCAGGTACTATGCTCAATGCGTGACAAGTCATTGCTGCATGAAATTCCAGACAATTCTAGGCTATCATCAACCCCATTTTACAGCTGGAAACTGAGGTGCAGAAAAGCACAGTAACTTTCTCATGGCTACACAGCTACAAGTTAGAGCCTGAATTTCAACCCTGCAGCTTGAGCCCTTGGCCATTCTAATATTCCATGAAGGCAAAGGGATAGCTGTGAAGGCTCTGAGTGTTAGGTCTCAACCCTGGACCTGCTCAGCTCAGGTCCTGCCCCTGCTTCAAGGCCTTCAGTGGTTCCTCACGGCCCCAGGACTCACTGGCCTGAGCCACCCCTTGCTCCACTGCCCCCTCACCCCGGGGAGCCTCAGCAGCACCAACCTTTCTGGGTCCAGCCAGGTATGCTGGGCACTGCAGATGCTCCCTAACTGTCAGGGAGGAGCTGTGAGCGGTCATTCAAGAGCAGGGGTGTAATTGCGGAGGCACACACCCTGGCCTGTCCCCATGGGTGGGTTTCAGATGTGGCTGGAGATGGGACTGAACCTCGAGGTCGTGGTGCCTCCAGGCTTCAGGGCTGACTTGGGAGCAACTCCGGTTGCCCTTGGGTATGGCCCTCCTGCATTCCCAGGAGGAAAGAGTATAAACAGACTGTGGCCCCGGAGAGCTGTCCCCCATGTCCTTGTGTCCCTTTGGGAATTTATCACCCCATTTTGCAAATAAGAAAATGGAGGTTCAAAGAGGCAAAGTGACTTGTCTAAGGCCAGACACTGAGTAAAGAGCTGAGCCAGGGCAAGAATCCAGACCCTAGTTTGACTCTTAACCACCCCGTGCTCCTGCCCCTGTTCAAGAGGGGTTTCCAGTCTGTCTCTGGGCAGGGGCCTAACTGCTGACTCTTGCCCAGCCTTCAGGACAGGGGCAGTGAGCCCATTGCCCTGCGGCTTCAGTGCTGCACCCAGGGGCATGGGACTGAGGGGAGACCTGAGGACCTGTGCTGCCCTCCACCCCCATCAACATTAAGATGCAGGGCCCACGTTCCCTCCTTGCTTCTCCCAGAAGTGAGAGAATAATGGTTGGTTCAAATGTCAGGCCTGCTCTGCTGCCTGTGGGGAGACTGGTTGAGCAGGTCTGGGGGAGGGACAGAGCAAGGAAATTATTAGTAATTGCAAGGCAACCAGTCCTGCTGCAGGACTTGAGATGGGTCTGTGTGTGTCTTTGTGGGTGTGCGGTTAGGGGTACTGAATCTCGGGACCCCGCCACGGATGGGAGGGCAGCCTGGAGGTCGCTGCAGCTTCCCAGGGGCCTGTGTGGGTTCGGGAAGTGAGGGATGGGGGTCATAGTCAGCCTCTCTAATTTGAGACATATCTTGGCCTCCCTGCCTCCCATTAACCTAGGTAAGGAGGGATCTGCCAATGCCAAGAAGAGGAAAGAAAGAGCCTAGTATGTGCCTTCAGAAGGCATTTCCTTATGTGTTGGATTTAATTTGCACAACAGCCAGATAAAGTTGGCATTGTTATTATTGTCACTTGACAGTTGGGGAAACTGAGTCACAGAGGGACAAAGTCAGGATTTGAACTGAGGATATTTGATTACAGCTCAACTGTCCTTGCTGGCATCTTCACACTCAGCTGGGGGTGGAGGGATCCCTCGTCTTTGGAAAAGCCATGACCATAATCCCTGATGCCGCACCCGGGAGGATGGGAGTTGGTCTGAACATCTCTGAACCTCAGTCTCCTCATCTGTAGAAGGGGAACCAGAGCTCCTTCCTCCAGGATCAGGGGCAGCAGACGAGGGAGGAGGTCAGGAGGCCAAGGGCAGGCGGTAACCGTCTCCTCCCTTCAAGAGCCAGTCCTTTCTCTCCTTCCATCTCCAGCACCCACTGGAAGGTCTGCCCAACAGCCGAGACCACAGGCAGCTCTCACGGAGTCTTCCTGGACCCCTGGGTGCCCAACAGAGGTGGTTACCTAGCCAGGCTTTGGAAAATTCCCTCTGAAACCTCTTGTGAGTGATGAATTTACACTTTAGAAGGAAAATGCTAGAATGGTGGAACTCGAAGCAGAGTTTCTGGGAATGGATATGGGAGGTCTGGGAGCCGAAAGAGAACCTCTGGGCCTGGGGCTAGCTGCCACCTATGGCGGAGGTGTGCCTGGATTGCGTGCCACTGACTCCAGGACAGGCTGCATCTGCAGGGGACCTCCAGGGCATCCCCCTCCTTGGCCTGCCCCGATGGGCTGATAGGACCCCGCCTCAGAGGAGGTGGCAGCCATAATTACAGGCCTCAGTGGTGGCAGGCAGGCAAGTCATGAGGTGGGGGTGACTCAGAGGATTGCTCCATGAGTGGGGCGGGGGTGGGGGCCGCCTGTCTGCCCCTCACCCGGCTGGCCAGAGGAGTGCCTGGGCACCCCTTGGAGGACCTGTAGGGCTACTGGGTGTGGTCAGCCCAGGGTCTCACCCCTGGGCCTGTGACCCAGGCCCCTGTGCCACTTGGCATCATTGGAACCTGGCATTGTTGTAGGAACCTGGGTCAGCTGGGTTTTCCCCTTGCTCAGTCCCAGGCTTCAGCTTCTGGGAAGTGGGAAGCAGGGCTCAGAGGCATCCAGTGGTGGAATCAGACGGAGGGTAGCAGGCTCAACGCCTTGCAGCTTGATTGACCCGTAGGGGAAAGCATCCAGGAATCTCAGAGAGAGAGAGAACCTCAGACGTGTAGACTGAGAACCCACAGGTGATGTTTGCCAGACCCAAATATTTCCAGATTCAAGGATTCATGGATTCGTAGACTGGTAGAATTACAGATTTCTAAAATCAGGAATCAAGTTACAGTTGGTCCCAGAGAATTCATACATCCATTGAGTGAAAGATTTAAAAAGAAAAATCAGCAGCTGAAGAGGTTAGGGGTGAATTATCTTGGTGTCTTCAACTTGCTACCACATGGGTCAGGCAAGAAAATAAAAGTATAAATATTCATTTTTCTCATTCTATCTAGCGAGAGGGAAAGTACACAAAACAGAAAGTCAACCGCTGGTGAATTGAGGCGTTTATTGTTCTGTGTTTTATTTTTTAACTTCCTATGGATTAAAATTTGTCAAAATAAAAAGTCAGGAAAAAGTAAAATAGAAAATGAAATGTAAACATAAACCACAGTGTAATAGATTGTACAACTCGGTGACCAACAATATTATGACTTTCTAATCTATGCATCTGTAATTCTCTGTAATGTGTTCATGTGTGTTTTATTTACGTTTCTGCAGGGCACCTACTGTGGGCCAGGAACTGTTCTAGGGCTCTACAAACATTGGCTCATTTAATTTTTGCAACAACCCTAAGAGGTGGGTGTTAATTGTGATGCTTTCCCAGATGAGGAAACTGAAGCACAGAATGGGAGAGTAGCTTGTTCAAATTGTGGGCATTGTGTTGCTAGGCATCTGTTGCATGCCAGGTGCTGTGCTAGACTCTGGGACAGAGCATTGAACAGGACAGGCATTGTCCCTGCACTGGGGGAGCTTGGCAAGGGAGACAAATAATAAACAAATGAGAAAGATTGTCATTCGTTCAAGGAGGAAAATAGGCCTGATGCTTAGAAGGAGGACAGGGGGTGAGCATGAGGGCCCCTATGAGGAGGTGACATTTGAACTGAGACCCAAGGGCAGAAGGAGGCTTACCAGCAAAACACCCACCCTTTGCCCGGGCTGTGCCTTCTGCCTGGAGTGCCCTTCCCTCTGCTTTTCTGTGCCAAACTCCCACGGTGTTCCAGTCCCAGTTAGGCAGGTGCCTCCTCTGGGTGTAGGAGGGGGACTGGGGAGCTTCCCCAGCTGGAGGGGAAACCTGTGCTGCCCCGTCTTCTCCTTCCTTCCTGTTTCCAGAGTAGATCTTGAATTTGGAAAGCTTCCACTTGAATCAGCAGCCCTGCCCATCTGCCAGCTCCTGCGCTGGGATCTCTCCTGGAGTAGGAGGCACAATTATCTCCAGGGAAGCAGATGGGGCCCAGAGAAGTTAAGAGATTTGCCCAAGGACACACAGCCATCAAGTGTTTAAGGAGGGATCTGCACTGAGGACTTACAGGCTGACTTTTGGTTATTGTTTACCTGCTACTTCCCTGCCCACCCTGGCGGCCCCTCAAGGGCAGACTTTGGGAGCCAGAGTTTGTTCTATGCTTGGCATCACCCAGCTCTGGGTCTGGGCTGCTTGGAGAAGGCTTGTGGAATGACTTGAACTGTGCCAGGCTGAGATCATGAAACTGAGCAAGGGCTAGACCAGGACCCTAGGGTTTGCTCTACCTCCAGGGGAAGGCAGGCAGGGGCCTGAACCTTGGGGCTCCCAGAGGTACCCTGTGCCTGCTGCCACCCTCTATGCCCCACAGAACACCAGGAGCCCATTTGGGACAAGTGGCCTGCATCACCCCCCACCAGGCTGGATCCAGACTTTTTGCTCCCCAAGCCAGTTCCTGGCACTGACTGGCATAAGGCCAGGCTGTCCACACACCCAGCTCCCATCCTGGCCCCAGTTGCTCCACCAGGCGGTGGGGACAGGGTGGTGCTCAGGAGGCTCTGTCTTAGATAAAAGGAGTGTGTGGGGGGGAAGCCCGGTTCCCCTCCCAGTGTCTCTCTCACTGCATAACCGGGTAGGTGGAAGTAGCCCAAACCCTGGAGTTCTCAGACTGGGTTCAAGGCACGCTATCCTCTGAGGCTCTGAAGCCTGGAGCTTTAGTCTTATCTGCAAAATGGAGACCATGAAACCACCCACCCCAGGGATGAAGCTGTAGCATAGTGGTCAACACACAGTAAGTGCTCAATAAATGCCAGATGCTCCAGTTCAAGACTAGGGCCACAGCTGAGGATTTCTATGATTCTAGTCTTATTCACTGATTCACTGTGCCTCTACTATGAGACCCTACTATGTGTCAGGCCCTCGCAGAGTGTTGGGGTCACATCACAGAACAAAGCAGACAAAACCCCTGTTTTTGGACAGATAGATAGTAAGCAAACAGCATCATTTCAGACCATGGTAAAGGCTTAGAGGAGATAAAGTATGGAGGTGTGATAGAGAGTGACCAGGACCTTCTTAACTAGGGGGACCAGAGAGGGCCTCCCTGAGAAGCAGCTGTGACCTTAAAGAGGGGTGCCAAAGGTGAAGGAATAGCCAGGGCAAAGGCCCTGAGGTAGGAATAAGTTAAGTGGGTCCAGAGAATAGTGGGGCAGCCATTGTGGCTGAAACAGAGCAAGTGAGAGGGTCGGGTCCTGCAGGGCCTCTAAGGAAGGTGTGAGGAATTTTAATTTCATTCCCATGGTGATTATTATAAACAAAGACCAATGTTATGAATGACTACAATATACAAAGTGCAAACTCATGGTGATTCACTTCCAGCCCAGAGCTTGGGCACTTTGGCTCAGGCAGCTCAAAGCAGGGTGCCCGCACACCTTGCCCCACAGTCTCACTTTGAGAAACACAGGTAACAGGTCATTGCAGCGTGAGGTGCCAAAGCCGCGTGTTAGACGGCATGTGAGTTTATTAGCTGGGAATGTGGCCGCCCTCTCAGGACTTTAGTGCTTTTAGGACAGTGAGGTGGGCTGGGAAGGGGGCATAATATCCCTAGCCCTGATTTCAACAGCATCTTGTCAACTGGGGAAGGCTTGGGACATCAGCTGGTCCAACCCCCTCACCCCCGGATGGGGAACCTGAGGGCCAGACAAGGGGAAGTGAGTGGCCAAAGGTGACACTGTGAGTCAGAGGCAGATGTGGGACTTGAACCCAGGTCTCCTGACTTCCAACCCAGACTTTCTGAGAAATGGGTGTCTTGCCATATGTTTCCCCTTTGTTGTTTCCTCCAAAATAGCATCAGCTGCCCTTGGGGTCAGTGAGAAGACGTGGGGCAGTTGTCCAGAGATTTGGGGCTCACCCCTTACTCTTCTGCAGGGTTTCTCATCTGTGACGCAACTGGCAGTTTGAACGAGATAATTCTCTGCTGCGGGCAGTGTCCTTCTGGAGCCTTCCAACCACCTCTTGGATGGACCCCTGCCTGGAGACAGGGGCACAGGGATGCCTCTTGAGAGAACTGGAAAAAAAGAAAGGAAGAAAAACGTTTAACCTCAAGTTAGTAATGAATACTGAGGATTTAACCTGACAAGGGCAGTTGCTGGAAGTTGAGGTAAACAACACACATCTGCAGGATGAGTTAACCCAAGAACTGCTCCCATGTCAGGAGAGTAGGTCCTTTGGCTCAAGACACAATATCCACACAGAAAGGGTTTCACAAAGGGTGACTTCCCATCAGCCTAGTGATGAGCATGCGGTGGGGGCCTGAGGCCCAGAACTCACAGAACGGATGGCAGAGCAGTAAAGATCCCAGTGTTGGAGGGGCATCGGCCAGGTTTGGAAAAAGCTGTGAATGAACAATGAGGGTGTGGGAAAAAGTACGTTGGAAAAATGATCTAGTTTTTGAGAATAGACTTTACTTTTTAGAACAGTTTTAGATTTACAGAAAAATGGAAAAGAGAGCACTCTATACCCAGTTTCTCCTATGATGAGCGCCGTGACATTGGTACAGTACATTTGTCAGAGTTAATGCACCAGTGTCGATGAATTATTATGAACTGAAGTCCACAGTTTATCCGGATCTCCTTAGCTTTTGCTGATCCCATCCAGGACTGCACATCACACTGAACTGTCATGTTCCTCTAGGCGCCTCTTGGCTGTGACAGTTTCTCAGACTTTCCTTGTTTTTGGTGACCTTGACAGGTTTGAGGAGTACTGGTCAGGTTTTTTGTAGGCTCTCTTTTCTTGGGAGAATTTGTCCAATGCTTTTCTCATGGTGAGACTGGAGTTAAGGTTTTGGGGAGGAAGCTCTCAGAAGTAAAGTGCCATTTTTATTATATTACACTGAGGGTATATACTATCAATAGGATTTATCAATCCTATTTATTTATCTTGTGATTATATTTATTAATATTTGTTATATATAATACATTGTATTGTATACAATAATTTATTAATATTATGATACTATTGTGATCATATTTATTTATTTATTAGTTATCTCATTCAACGGTTGATTTATTTATCAACTGTTGTTGTTGACCAAGTTGTATTTGCCAGGTTTCTCACTGTCAAGTTCTTTTCCCCCCTTCCACACTGTCCTCTCTGGATGGGAGTCGCTCTGTGTAGCCCCCACCTAAGGAGTGGGGAGTTAGGTCTGCTACATAAATGATTGAGAGTTCTTTTGCATGGCAAATTTGTATATTCCTTCCTATTGATATATATCCAATTGTTTACTTACATCAATATTTATTTTATACTTATTTATGCTTGTTTTATTTATACTTTGCAATATAATTCAATACTACTTTATTTTTTTGCTCAGATGGTTCCAACTTTGACCACTGGGAGCTCTTTCAGTTGGCTCCCTGACCCCTTGATATACCCCCATCAGTGTAGGTTTTTGTTGTTATTATTTTGTCTCTGTTTTTTTGAGCACTTCCATACTTCCGCTCTGGCTCATCTTGTATGTCTCCTGCCCTCGGATCATGCATTTCTTCATGGAGCCCTGATTCTTTCTTTTTGGAGAATGGTAATAGAAACCAAAATCTGGGTGCCAGGTGTGCCCAGTGCTATGGGGTGGCATTTCTTTAAGGCTTTCTCTGCTGACAGAGCCAAGAAATATATGTGTGTATACCAACCCTGTATACACACTTATTTGTAAATATTTCTGTATTTAGCTAAACATGATTTCATACTGATGTCTCCAGAATTCATTATTCTGAATGCTTATTATGTGCTAAGTACTTTCTAAGTGTTTAACACAAATTTTCTCCTTTAAGATGCACAATAACCCCGGACCCTGGTTACTCTCCTCATCCTCACTTTACCGATGAGGAAATGGAGGCACAGAGAAATTAGGTATTTTGCCCAAGGTCTCCTAGCTAGTAAGTGGTAAAGTAGGCTTCAAACCCAGTCCCAATCATGTTAAACATTAAAATACATCTACGTCTTGCACAACACAGAATTTATATATAACTAAAAAACAAAACTAAAACATTGCCTTATAGTTGACTGGTTGATATAGTATTATATTTCAAAGGCATTTACTTAAATGTCATGATTTCCTTTGAAGCCAGTACATTATATTTTAGATTTCAGACGTTTTCTGCTTGAGTCTCTCTTATCTTTAATGACCAATGGATGAAAGGGCTCAGGAATATACTGTTACTAGTCCACCTAGCCACTATACTGGGCCATTCTCAGTACCTCCCTCCAGTTGGCCCCATGGGAAATTCCCAGGGGGAATTTCCTAGGCAGTTCAGATCCCAGAGGGCCAAAGGAAGAAGGAAAGGAAGCATGGAGGGAGGGAGGGAGCAGGGAGCATTGGTGCTCTGACCCCTAGGTGTTCCTGGTGTCATTCTGGTCTGACCTGCTGGACTTCTTCAGGGAGTCTTGGACAGGAGCCTGCCCTGACCCCAGCATGGCCTGATAGCAGCCCAAGGCCCCCTCCTGCTTTTCCTCACACAGGTCCCCTCCTCTCAGCCCAGCTCCACCCCCCTGAGGCCCAAGGTAGCCTTGTTCCACCTCCTCTAGGAAGCCCTCTCTACCTGCTCCACCCTCAATGATGGCCATGTTCTCTGAAATCCCAAGCCTCGACCAAGCGTCTCAAATTAGCAGCCATCAGAAATGCTTTCTTTAGGCTGCAGAGTGTTTTCTAGAATTTTGATTTGGGTCTGGCTTTGAAGAGCTAAAGATTGCATATAAATATGTGGATACCCAGCCTCTCTTACAAATGTTGAAAGCCTGACAGCCCCAAGAGCCTCACATTCCCACCAGCTGGGTCTGCCCCATGCCTGGTGCACACTGGGTGCTCAGCCACTGTGGACAGCGTGGGTGGGCGGGGAGTACTCAGCTTGGAGCCTTAGCTTTGGAGGCAGACAGGACTGATTTTCAACACCAGCCCTGCCCCTTCCTGGCCATGGAACCTGGGAAAAAATGTTTCCTCTCATTCAGCCTCATTTTCTCAACTGGAAAATGGGCTTAAAATAAAACCTACCTCATGGGGCTGTCATGAGGATGAAGTGAACTAATACATGGGCAGGCGGGGTGGGGCTTAGGGCAGGACAGGCACTCAGGGAGTCTGGATAAGTACTTCCTTCTCTTTGTTGTTTTCTCCCTTTGTTTTGCTTTGGCACCTCTCATTTCCTGATGCCCCCACTCTCCATCTGTTCTTTCTATAAATGCCTACTATGTGCCAGGTACATGTAAGGCCCAGCTGCTGCCTTCTGAGAACTCCTTTCCTGGTCTAGCTGAGGAGACGTTTCAGTCATGCTTGTACTTGCTACTTATTCATTCACCTGCTCAGCAGGTGTTTATGGAACACCTACTGTGTGGCAGAGGTTGTTCAGAACATTGAGGATATAGCAGTGAATAAAACAGACAAAAATCCCAGCCATCAGGGAGCTGACATTTCTAGCGGTGGCTGAGAGACAGTAAACCAAGAGTATCAGGTGGCACTGTGATTCTTCAGTTCTGTAAAGAATCGTAGGCATGATGGACATGCTGCTGCTTGGTCAGGGAAGGCCTCTCTGTGAGCAGCGAGTGAGTGACCATATGGCTGGCTCTCTGTGGCAAACACATTCCAGATAGAGAGAACAGCAAGTGCAAAGGCCCTGAGGCAGTTATGGGCCTGAAATGTTTGAAGAGCAGTGGGAAGGCCTGTATGACTGGCGGCGAGTGAGTTATATATTTCTGTAATGTTAGAATGCTTCTTTTTCCCATCTTCTTCCCCCCATACCCCATTTTATTTTTGCAGTGATTCTCTTAATTTTGTAATCCAAACACACAATGACAGTTTATAAAAAAGAAATAGTATCTGGGAAGCCCTTGGCCTCTTGTTGGTATGTAGAACAGTGACTGCTATTATTACCGTTTCTTCTCATTTCTGGTAGGAATGAATCACTTTCTTCCAATGTTTCCTGAAGAGGCAAAGGGCCCTTGGGCTCTTGTCCCCCTGTGGAGTGCCCTTCTTCTCCTTTCACTGGCTTTACTGAGGTATCACTGACCTACAACATTGTGAAATGTAAGGTGTATGATGTGTTGATTTGATCCAGTTACATATTGCAAAGTGATTACTACCACAGTGTAGCAAACACCTCCAGGGGAGTGCATTTCTCCTATCCCATCATTATGAGGGTTTCTGGAAGATGTGTGAGGTGAGGGTCTGTGCATCTGTGGCAGGGGCAGGGGGGTCTCTTCCTCCTCCCCTCCCATCCTCCTCTGCTCTCCCCTCCCCTTTTCTTTTCCATCTGCAAACTCCTCCCATTTGGGAAGTCTTATTTCGGGGCCATTGAACGTGTTCTGTGGAGTTTGTGATACAGAGAGGTGGGGGCAGCTCATTGTGTCAGAAGGGGGCTGGTTCATGGACTGCCCGAGAATGCGAGTCTTCAAACAGGGCCCTGGTGCTGCCTGCAGGCCTCTTTCCCTCCAGACTCCTTTACATCTCGCCCTCTCCTGGACACTAACTGGTCCAACCCCATCGTCTCTTGCTCTGACCATTGTGGTCACCACCTCCGAGGGCTCCCTGCTTCTGCCGGGCGCCTCAGTCGGTTCTCCACATGTGCAGCCTGAGGAGCCCCTCAGAGCTGTCAGACCATGTTCTCCCGCTCAGCTGCTCCCTGGGCCCCACCTCACTCAGAGGTCCTGTGTGGCCTGGCGTGAGCAGACCCCTCTGGCTCACCTCCCCACCTCGGCCCCGGCATACTGGCCTCCTTGCTGCCCCATGAAGGGTTGGGTCCTGCTCTTGGACTGCTGCACCCTCTCCATGCATGCAGCTCTTTCCCCTCCTCTCATAGGGTCTGCTGGGCCCCCAGTCACCTGTCCCTGCCCAGCCTCTGGAGTAGGGCCTCCTGCGACACCTGCTCCGGGCTCCCTGCCTCCACCTCCCAAGCCCTTCCCTGCTATTTGGAGAAACACACCGTGGGTCTGTTCATGTGGCAACTGCCTGCAGCCCCTCAGGGTGTCAGCTCCAGCAGGTTGAGTCTGGGGCTGTGTGCCAGTGCCTGAAATGGTACTGATGTGCTGTATGCAGTAGGTACTCAATGCTTGCTTGGTGAATGAGTGAGGATTAGTGCATTACAGTCAGACCTTGGAATTTTTGCAAGGTTCTTAAAGTTACAGCAATGGATAGTTCAGGACTGGGAGGCACTGAGGATCAGCTGGCTCTGGGGCCCACCTGCCCCACCCAGGTGGGGCTCTGTCTCTCTCTGTCTTCCTTTTCATCTCTGTCTCTGTCTTGCTCTTCACCCTCTCTTTGTCTCTCTCTCTGTGTGTCTGTCTCTTCTCTTCCCTCTCTTCTCCTCCCCTCCCTTCTCTCTCTCTCTCTCCTCTGTCTCTGGGTACCCCTGTCTCTCCTCTCTTTGTCTCTTCTTTTCCCCTTTGTCACCTCCTGCCACTGGCCTCCACAGGCACAGGGCCAGCTCCTGCTCTAGAGCACTTGGCTGCCTCTGCTGCCACCTCTGCCCCACTGAGGGGCCCCCTCCAAGTGTGGCCAAGCCCATCCTGTGAGAAGCAGGGAGGGAGCCAGGGAGGCTCGTGCCGGGTGTGGAAGCTCGCAGCAACCTTCCTGCAGTGCGACTTGTCAAAGCTGGTAACCTCTGCTCTCTGGGCCCTGCTTTCCTTGTCTCTCCAAGGAGGATAACAGTTTCTGGGACTTCCTTTATTTCTCTTCCAAATATGCTTATTATTTTATTGGCTTGTGGTGAAGCTCAGAGAAGTTTATGGGTGGGAGAGTTTCACTAATGCAACCTCTAAGGCAGAGAAGCAGTCTGCCAGGAGCTGACCAGGTGTGGGGCTGGCCTGGGTGTGTTCCCTGACTTAGGCTACTGCCTGCCCTGGGCTTGGCGCATGGGGCTCTTTCTGCCCAATCAGGCCTCCCTTCAGAAACTTGAACTCACTAGGCTCCCTCTAGTCTTAGGGCCCTGACAGGTGCTGTTCCCTCTGTTTTGGGACGTTCTTCCTTCTATCTTTGGCCTAGTTAAACTCCTACTTGTTATTCTGATTCTGGCTCAAACACCACTTCCTCCAGGAAGCCCTCCCTGATGACATCCCCACAAGTCAGGTCACCCTGGCTACTTTCTATCACTTAACTACACTTGTAATTACTTTATTTGCTCTCTGCCTCCACCCGGCTCCCCACCCATCATCTGAGCTTAGGCCTCCCCTGAGGGGAAGTTGAGAGGCCCAGGCTCATGAGTCAGCAAAGTTCTCCTTCCCGTCTTGGCACTTTCTCTGGGGAGGTTGGGAGATGGCTTCCTCCAGAGAGGCTTACATTCAGGGGCACTGATGGACAGGAGGCGGGCTGGCCCACTCCTCATCCCCTAGACCAGACCTCCAGCATCAGACAGCTTTTCTCCATCTCTGTGATAACCCTACCTTGCCTGAGCCACCACCGACATGCTTTCCTGCTCACCCACCCTTTCCTGGAGAAGCCAGAGGGAGCTTTTCAAACCAGATCTAAGCTTTAATCTGCCTTGCTCCAAACCCTTCCATGGCTCCCTATGGTATTTCAGAATAAAGCCCAGCTGGGCTGTAAGCCCCCTGTGGCCCCTGTGACATTGCTTCTTTCTCTTTGTGCCGCAGCAACGCCCAGCTCCTTGCAGCTCCCTGCCTCCAGATCTTTGCACTTGCTGTTCCCTCTGCTCTAACCACTGTCCCCCCAAATGGATGAAAGCAACAGAAATCGCTGCCCCATCTCCTTCAGGTCTTTGCCCAAATGTCCTTTCCCAGGGACGCCCGCCCTGACTGCTCTATTCACACATTTAACCTCCCTACTGCCCCTTCTCCCACTTTCCTGCTTTATTTCTCTCTATAACCTTGATATCTGGGAATAGGCCCCATGGGATACTGATTCCTCTCGTTTCTCTTCTGTCTCCCCCACTAGATGTCTTAGTGGAGTAGGTATCCCCAGCAAGGAGTGGGCCTGGGGCTGTGTGGCTTTGGGATCAGACAGACCTGGCTTGGAGTTCTGGTTCACTTACTTCCTGTCTACTCCTCTCTGGGCCTCAGTTTTCTCATCTGAAAAATGGGAGAAAACACAGGTTGGAGTAAAGGCAAAATAAAATCCTGTGTATAAAGTGCCTGGTGTCTACATATGTCTAGAGAACTCCCCCACTTACCCCACCCAACCCCCAAATGACAGCCAAAGTGAGAACTCATCATTCATTATTTTGAGGAAATCGGGGGACTCTATTCTGGTCTGTCCATACCATGGAATATTATGCATCCATTTGGGGGAACAGTGGTTAGAGCAGAGGGAACAGCAAGAGCATAATATTAAAAAATGGTTTACAGTTTTCCCAATTCACAGTGACTTTCTTGTTTGTCTGTTTATTTTTAAATATGCTTTATTACATAGGCATTTTTTTTTCCTCTAGGATTTATTTTTAATTGAAAAAAATTCAAGGTAAAGTACAGTGTATATAGTATTCTTTGTTCTAAAAAGGAGGAATGTATACATTCGTCTTTTTTTATAGTTTTAAAAATTGAGGTACAATTCATATAATACAAAAGAAACCATTTAAACTAATCATTAAATAATTAACCATTTAAAGCGTGCAATTCAGTGACATTTAGTATATTCACAATGTTGTGCAACCGTCACCTCTGTTTAGTTCCAAAACATTTTCATCTCTCCCAAAGGAGACCCCATCCACATTAAACAAGTCACTCCCCATCGCTGCCTCCCTCCAGCCCCCTGGCAGCCACCAACTTGCTCTCTGTCTTTATGGGTTCATCTGTTCTGGATATCTCATATAAATGTGATCATGCAATACCTTTTGTGTTTGGCTTCTTTCAATTAGTATGTTTTCGAGGTTCACGTAGCACAAGTATCAATACTTCATTCCTTGTTACGGCCAAATAATGCTCTATTGTGTGGACAGACCCCATTATGTTTACCCATTCATCTGTTGATGGACATTTAGGTTGTTTGCACCTGTTGGTGGTTGTGAATAATGCTGCTATGAGCAATCAAGTAAGAGTTCTTGTTTGGTGTTTGTATTCTTAAATGAGAAAAGCAGGATGCTGAGAAGGGGGTACAATGTGATCCTGATTTGTAAAAGAAATGACAGATAAAGAAATCCCTTATCCAGGCAAAGTCTGTATAGGATTTTCATGCTTACAGAAAAATATGTGAGAACACGATTCCAAACGTCAACCTGGGGAGAGAAGAGGCTTTTGCAGAGAAGGAAAAGTGAGAAAAGAAGGCCAGATGCCAAATCAAAACAGTACACACAAAATGATTCCATTTAGGCATGTGTGACAAGTTACAGATTGAGTAATTGTGTATGTAGATGTCAAAACAAACAAACCCCCAAAAAACAAAACAAAAACACCCCAAAACTATTCTCTGTCAGAAGGGCTGAGCAGGAGCCTGGTCAGCTAGAGAACCTGAGGCTGGCATAGAAGGGAGTTCCAGGGGTGGGTGTTCTCCACGGGGTCCCTGTCCAGCCCTTCATCCCACACCGACTGTGAGGTCCCACTGGAGGCAGATCTCCTCTGCTGATTCTTTGGCTGGGACTTGTGAGTGGGAGCCCAACTCTTCTGACTCTTCCTTGTGGGGGTACAGTTGTCCTGTCTGGGGAGCCCTCTGCAGTGAACCCCCATGTGGTTCCCATTTCCTGAAGGGAAGTGCTGAGACAAGGGGAAAGGTGGGAAGGGGCGCAGGAGGACAGAGAAGTGGGAGAGTGTGGCCCAAGGCTGGGGATGGACCCTGTGACCTCCCCTGACCTTGGGCCCTCACCCAGGTTCCCAGATAGGCTGGGCCTCCTGGCTGCAGAACTTGGCTTTCTCTCTGCTGTCTCTATTCTTTTTTTAGATCTTTCCACCGTCCAGAACACCGTAGGAGATGGTATAATGAGCGCCAAGTCCTCATCACCCGCTTTGTCAAATCTTAACATTTTGCCATATTTATTTCAGATCTATAGCAGTCAGGGTCTGGCAGGAAACAGACCTCTCTCAGACCGACTCCCCTGAGGAGAGTTCGATACAGGGACTCTTCACAACTGTGGCAGGGCTAAGGGAACTGAGAAGGAAAGGTGCAGGGGTGGGGATGGCACCCGCGGGGAGCTGATGTTTGCAGGGTTGGGTGCGTGGAAGGGATGCTGGCAATAGCCGAGACCTTCAGGAAGGACAGCTCCAGCCAGGGGAAGCAGCAGGGAGGGGGCCCTTCTGCTCTCTGCCCTCCCATCTCTGTCCACACCTCCATGCAAGGAACCCCACAGGAAGCCTAGAGCAGGGCTGGTAGCATTCACCCAGGTCAGCTAGCTTCCCAGGCACAGATCAGGGTGGGGAAAGTGGAGGCCAGGGGGAGCAGAAGAGGGCAGGTCACTAATTTACCCTCCCTGGGCTGGTGGGTGAGTATTCATGGTAGCCCCTGGCACTGGTCAGTTTTCAGTTCTGGCCCCTGGGACATGGGTGACATGGGGGGATCTCTTGCCATCTTAGTTCCCTTTTCCCAGCTATTATGTGCCTGCTGGTAACCTTTGCCATTTTCAAGCTCTGGTTTTTAAGCTCCTGTTAATCAAACACTACCTGCTATCTCCTAAGTGTTTCACACAGCTGGTGGCCTGAATCCTTTCCCCACCTAGTTTTGTAGCTCAAAAAAAAAGAAAGCAAGGTTCAGAGAGGAGTAAGCTATGTTCCAGGCAGGGCCCAGAGCTGAACTTGAACACAGAGCAGTTGTTGGGAAAATTTGAGCCCTTAAACACAATACCCTCTGCCCCATGGTTCAGGTTTCCTCCAGCTCTACTCTCCGAAGTTCGCAGAAGGAGCCTCCTGCTGAAAGGCTCAACTCCCCTAGAAGTCCCTTGATGCCCTGCTCAAGCTGAGGGCCCAGGGTACCCAGGGCCCCTCCTGGGAAAGTGTTCTGACTCAGCCTGACCTGGGGTCTGCCAATTCCACCTGCATTAACTTGGGTGACGATTTGACTCCCCAGGCCTCAGTCTCTCCATCTGGAAAATGGGCACACTGTGGGCTTCTCTATGCAGTGAAGTTGTGCAGGTTTGATGAGGTGACATGCATAAAGCCTAGAACCCAGCACACAGGAGCCTGTCCCAGTGGGCCTTTCTGCGTTTCTGATTTCCCTTGAGTTGCCTTCTCCTGGGGGCAGGATCCCCAGCTGGAGGAAGGATGAGGCCTGGCCCGGGGACCCTGGGGGGCCTAGTGCCAGGACAATGCAGAGCATTGAGTTCATGCCAGCCCTGGTTTGGGGTTGGAAAAATAGGCGAGTAATCTGGGCTGGACTCAGACAAAGGCCTGGAGGCCAAGTTGGCTGAGGGGCGTCAGGTTACCCCCCACAGCCTGCAGCCACACTGGCAGTTCCCCCAGCAGCTCGTGGGGATGTTTTTTTTCCCCAAAGATGGTAATTAAATGAGCCACCAGGGCCCCTTGCTGAGGCCTTGGCAGACGGGTTTCGTTACAGGAAGAACTGCAGGTACAGGGGTTCGCAGGTCTGACGGAGCACGTCATGTGATAATGTGATAATAATCAATAGTGGTAATAACAACAGCCAGCCTGCAGGAGCGGTGCCCTCCGGCCAGGCCCCAGGTGAGCTAAGCTATGCCTGAATCCTCCCTCCAGCCCTGAGAGGCAGGTGCTATGTCATCCCGTTTCATAAATGGGCAAACTGAGGCTCAGAGACACTTTGGAGCTCCCCAAGGCTGTTCGCTTCATTCCTTTAGCAAAGTGGGGGTGAGGCAGTGCAGGGTCTGGAATCACACAGGCCTCCACATCTCCTTGCCTCAGTTTCTACTCTGGAAAATGGGGATAATCATGGAGCTGGCCTCTTTGATTTGTTGTGAGAATCGAGTTAGTGGCGTGCAGTGAGGACTCAAATGTCTGCCCTTGTTTGCTGTTCCAGAATGAATAAAGGCCCGGCTCTGCGTTAAGGAGTTTGTACCGGTTGAAGCCCTGTCCTCTACCTCCGCCTCTTCCTCATTGTGTAAGAGGCTGAGGCTTTCAGTGGGTTCAAGGGGTGGGCAGGGGAGGCTTCAGAGGAGACTTTTTGGGGCGACCTCTGCTAAGGGAGATGGTGAGAGGGTAGATCTGGGCCGAAGGAAGAGCCAGCTCAGAGGCCTGGAGGCTGGAGGGCATTGCCTGGGAAGCGGTGCAGTGACTGAGTTAGACTGTGGGCTTCAAATTCCCCCACGTCTGCTGTGGGACTTAGGCAGACTGCTGGAGGTCTGTAATCTCAGACTTTTACCCATAGAATGGGTGTGTGAGAAGAAAACCTTCTGTAGAAAAGAGAACAGTGCCTGGCACATAATAATGCTCAACGGTTGTTATTTTATTTATAACTGCTTCCTCCAGGAAGCCCACCCTGAACTCCTTTGGCTCCAGAGACTATGGAGGCATCCTCCATCACAGGATGTTCCCTCTTCCACATGCCTCCCACCCCCACCCAGATGCTCTGCCTAGGACCCTATGAAGGCTGCATCCCAGAGCCTAGGAAGAACACATCATGGAGCAGCTGTGGCGGCCAAGTGTTGAGTGAATGGGGTCACTGAGCAACTGTTACATGCCAAGCCCTTTATGCACAAGTCTTGTCTTTAACATCTTCACCTGAAATTTTGGCTTTGCTGAGACTGGCACGTAGTAGGTGATGGAATTGCTCAGATGAACTAGTACTAAGAGGAAAGAAAGCTTTCTGAGGATGGGGGCCTTATCAGGTTGAGCTCATGAGACAATAAGAGGAAAAACAATAGTAATTATTATTTTTTCTGCTCCAGGCTCTTGCTGAGTCATTTCAGTTCGTCTTCTCAGTAGGTTAGTACTGTTGTTGTGTCTATCTCATAGATAGGACACCTGAAGCACAGACCCGTGAAGTGGCTCACCCCAAGTCACATGACTGCTGAGTTACACAGCCAGGATCGAACCCAGGTCTGTTGGACTGAGGAGCCTGCCTTGAGACTGTAACAACGTACTTACTCCTAATTAGAGGGCAAGTGCTATTCCTGTACCCATTTTGCAGATGAGGAAACTGAGGCTTTGAGAGGCAAAATGGCTTTCCCAGGTCT